CCCCCCCCAGCCCTCTGCCCTGACCTCGAGTCGCCCCCAACACCCAGCCTTCTGCCGTGCCCCTCCACACACACCCCAGCCCTGTGCCCTGACCTCCCCCCAACACCCAGCCTTCTGCCCTGCACCTCCACACACACCCCAGACTTATAGAGAGAGACCTTCTAAAAAACGTTAACATGTATTACCGGCACGCGAAACCTTAAATTAAAGTGAATAAATGAAGACTCGGCACACCACTTCTGAAAGGTTGCTGACCCCTGCTCTAAGTACATTCTGAATATAGGAGTTCTTTAGAATGAATAAATCGTTACACTAAACAAAAACAAAAACAAAACAAACAGGGGAAAAAAAAAAAAAACCCCTTCTGGTTTGTTCTAAGTAGTTTTACTCCTGCAAGTAATACAATTACTTCATTATACATTATTAGTCAAAATAGTTTTAACAAATTCTAGCTATCTTTACTGACATTTGGAGAGGAAATGGGAAGTATCAAGTGTTGGGAGCACCTAGCCTATCCTGTAACTTCTCTCCCCTGTTGTTTGACAGAAGAATAGCACTATATCTGAGAAGAATAAGGGCATATCTACACCACAAAATTTAGTCGACATAAGTCAACAAACAGCCACCACAGTAATTAATTTGAATTTTAATGTCCACCCTATGCGCCTTCTGTCGCCGGTGTGCGATCTCACTAGGAGGACACTGCTGTCGACCTAACTACATCGACTTAAGCGCTATACTTCTCAGAGATGGAGTTATTATTTCAGCATAGTGGGTGACTTACATTGGCGGGAGCAACATTTTAGTGCAGACGCTTACAGAGTTAGGCTAATGAGATGCCTTATGTCGACCTAACTCTGTAGAGTAGACCAGGTCTCACTCAACCAGTTTCATCTTCCTTCCAAATGGCAGTACAAAGGGACTATGGTGTGGGGAGCAGAGGTATGTGGACTACTGGATGAGCACACAGGCATTTTGCAGAGGGCAGCTGAACATGCAGTTCAGCTGCTTTCACTGCATGCTCACCGTCAGGCAAGTCTGCTGATGCTCAGCCATGTTCAACACAGCCAACTGTGGTTCACTTTGGGGACGTCTCCAATTTTTTCCCCTTGGCCATCGAGACTCAGACTTTTGAATGGTGAAGAGGAAGGGAGAAAGGGCCCCACAGGGACTTGTTCCTAGCACATTTTCCTGCACAATTTGCTGTTGCCTAGTTCAGTGCTTATGGCTTCCACAGCAGAGTATCTTCCTAGAACTAGGAAGGAGAGAGGAAAGTACCTATGATAAAGTACCTTGCATTTCTTAATATTTCATAAATTGCAGCAGGAATGTCTTTAGTCAGTATAATATTTATACCACTATTAATAATATTAAAAATACCATCAGACAAGGTGGGTGAGCTCTGTGTAAACTCTATGTAAGCTCGAAGATGTGTGTCTTTCACCAACAGAAATTGGTCCAACAAAAGATATATTACTTTACTCACCTTGTGTCTCTAATATCCTGGGACTAAAATAGCTACAACATTAAAAATACCAGAGCACTTATATAACACATATAGCTTCAAAACGCATTAATAAAGTAGCAATACCTGGCCAGGTTATTGCCAGGATTACTTTGTAAGATGAAGAAACTGCAAAACTGCAAAACACATTAATATTCCGTGTACCTTATAAAAAGGATTAGGAATTTTACCTGATGTTTAGAGACATCGCTGGTTTCCATGGGTTTATTTATATCCTTTAGAAAAATAACTTCATTTTCATTTAGACTACAGAAATGGAGTGATTTCAGAACATCTGGGAGCTCTACAGAAACAGCAGCCAATTCCTAATTCAAACACAAATTCACACACTAAGCATAAAACTAATATGTTAATGGTAAGGAAATTTTTTGATCTGGAGCACTAGAAAGTTAAATAAATATCGCCAGCCTCTAAGTCTATCAAAATCACCACTCTCTTTCCCTTCAGTTTTCCAATTATATTCCCACACCAAATTGGAATCCTGCTTAAAGGGCTAGTTTACAACAGTGTTCTAATTCAAATCTCAAGATACCTCTACCAGAAGAAATATAATATCACTGCCTCTCAAGACTCAGGGAAACTTTTAAAAGCACCAAGGAGAGACTTGGGAGTAGTAAAGAGCAACAGAACATCACAGCAGGTATGTAAACACACAGAGGGAACATTTGCATGCAACTGTTTCCATCTGGTAATCTCCACATGCTGTAGGTTCACCATTATCGGGTTTGTATCTGAGCAGAATATTTAAAAAAAAATAATCAATTCAGGCTTATGTTTAACTAGGATCTTGGTCAACATGGAATTATGTTTACCTAAAATAAATATGCTGAAAAAATTGAGCGTTTAATATTATATTACTTACTTTTTAAATACAGCATAAACATTGAGAAATTTTTTAAAATTATGCTCAATCCAATATAAATTATTGAACACAGTGGACCCAGCTTTCTCTTAGTAAACAGAATTCTTTGTGCAACCTCAAGTAGAGAGCCCAAGGTTTGGACCTGTGTGCTTAGAAGAATATCTGTAAAGTGATTATTTTTACAGCACCCTTAGCGTACTTGGCACTGAATGCAAGTCTGAGCACAATTTAACTCACAATATTTATCCTTTTGCTTTTACTTACCAATGGACCGTTAACTATGAAAGCCTCTATATTTAATGACTAACACCTTCCACGATACACCTTGTGATTTATATTAGCTGTGGAGAGGATAAGTCATTTTGGGGTTCATGACCTAATCAGCAGCCTCTTTGGTGTGGTTTTCTAAGACATCTATTATTTTCCATTACAAGAACACACACAAAAAGTAAAATGTCTAAAAGGTACAAGATAAGTTTTATGTCTCCTGATTTTCTTTTACACTTTATTGCACATGTTTAAATGCAAATACTGACATCCTGAAACCAAAAATAATTTTAAAATTAACCACAATGTACTAATAAAATCAACAGCTCAGTGATACTTCTAATATTTATTTCACACCACTCTACTTCAAATTACAAGTAAATCATATTTCTCACTTATTTGTAAAACTCTAACTGCACAGTAGTCAAAAGTTCTACTTTGATATGACCTATAACATGTTGGGAAGGAGGAAAGCGTGAATTGCAAAGTAGTTTAATATATGACCTATAACATCTGGAACTAGGAGAGAGAGAACTACAAAGTAGTTTAAGGGCTTGTCAACACAGAACGTGCACGCATTTAATGAAAGGTAAGTTGTTAAACAGATTTAGTTAAACTAGTACAATTTTGTGCCTGGAGTTTCTTACATTGTTTTAAACTTGTCTGATATAATTTTAGCTTGTACCTATAGTTTACAAGAGTGTTCACATACAAAGTAGCACTGATTTATCCTCACTTCTGAAGTTAAACCAGGCCTGAGACTAAACACACACGAGAGGGTTAAATCCCTAATATTTTTATAGTTGCATGAAATAGTCATCATACTTTTGTTACACTCTTGTTTTAAAAACAAGAACTGCTTATCTAACTCTCCTAAGACTATCTTAAGATCTGGCCACAGGTATTTCAAAAAGCACAGACCCCAAGGCTGGCACTCAAGTTAACAAAAAAAAAATAAAAAAAAAAAAATGGAGGTTTAAGATTTTCCAGGCTTCTATATTCCAAATGAATACAAAACACTGGCGGTCATATGAAAATAAAAAAAAAATTAAAAACTGTTAATTTCAATGTTTAAAACAGACCATTTATTTTAAAAAGCATGTTCCACGGCATATTCTTGAAGTAAAATAAGTATTAGGGCTCCCACACCAAAAACCATAAAATATCTCAGTTATAACTCAAGTGCTGGAGACAAAGTCATTTTTTGTATGTACATTACCTGCATATGAGCAGCATCTGTCTCTCCAGCAAAACCTAGAAATGTGATCTGTAAAACAAGCATACAAACAATTTGAAATACAAGATCCAGAAAGAGTATCCTGGTTTTCTAATTATAGAGAAAGCTGCTTAGAACTGAAAAGTGTAATGACTATTTAAAGTAAAGCTTCATACTGTTATCCTCAAGATCCATTATGCCAGGAGAAATGGCCTTGTTCGGAGAATATAAATTGGTTCTGTTTTGCTCCAATAATTTAGGAGGAAAACCTATCTAACAGTTTGTTTTGAATCATAAGATTAGGGAAAAAAAAGTCTCATCTAATGCTTTGTTCCAAGTGCTAAATAAAAATACTGTTTCAGGAAGGCTCTTGGTCAATCTCGATGGTCACTGATTCCCAAAGGAAAGAAACTCAGGTGCCTGAAAACCAGTCACAGCTGTAGGGTGTAAGCAATTGATATCCAACATGTCCCAGTCTAGGAGTGGAAAAATCATGAGAGTCCATCCCAAGATAGGTAAAAGTCAGTATGTACTCAGAGACCAGAAAGGGGATAGCTAGCCTGTAACCATACCACAATCTCAATCTTAATTCCATTTTAACATAGGTTTATTTTTTTGTTTGGGAATGCACTATACAGATTTCAATACAAATGATGCTAAAACATTTACTAAAATAACAGTCACAAAGCAGTTTAATATTAAGGTCAAAGCTGTGATACAGGCATCTATTCTGCAAAAATCCAAGATCTGCAGAATTTGATGTTATTTATCTTGGTAACCACTACTCAGACTTCAAATATATTACACCTCTACCCCGATATAACGCAACCCAATATAACATGAATTCGTATGTAACGTGGTAAAGTAGTGCTCCGGAGGGATCTGGCGGGATCAAAGCAAGTTCGATATAACGCGGTTTCACCTATAATGTGGTAAGATTTTTTGGCTCCCGAGGACAGCGTTATATCTGGGTAGAGGTGTACCACCATCTCAGATATACTTTAATTACACAAAAACTAAGTTTAAAAAGATTATTAAGGTTGTAAAGTCACGTAAACAAAAAAGTTAAGAAATGCCAAAATTACAGTTGCCTATACAACCTTAATTTTGCCTCCTGGTGCATATTCATTAGGATATCTTTAATTACATGATCACATACTATTTTAGCCACAGGACCAGGCCTCATTTAGTGCACAGGACAGTGCTCATTTAATTAGCAGATATTTAATATTGTGTTTTAGTTTCATTGTTCTATATCAGGGGTAGGGAACCTATAGCACAGGTGCTGAAGGCAGCACGTGAGCTGATTTTCAGTGGCACTCACACTGCCTGGGTCCTGGCCACTGGTCCGGGGGGCTCTGCATTTTATTTAATTTTAAATGAAGCTTCTTAAACATTTTAAAAACCTTATTTACTTTACATACAACAATAGTTTAGTTATATATTATAGGCTTATAGAAAGAGACCTTCTAAGAACGTTAAAATGTATTATTGGCAAGCAAAACCTTAAATTAGAGTGAATGAATGAAGACTCGGCACACCACTTCTGAAAGGTTGCCGACCCCTGTTCTATATTTACCACATATTATTATTACAAACCCTGCTCTGAAGGCAGAATTATTCATTTTCTCATGGGCTCTTCTCTGATGTTCATCACTATAGTATCTTAGTGCTTCACAAACACTAATGAATTTAAGACACGCACACACACAGTAAGATGAGGGAACAGAACTATCCCCATTTTACAGATGGAAAATGAGTCTCCAGGGTAGCATTCAACTGCCTTAACCCGGAGACCATTCCTTCTCTTCCTGCAATCCCCTGCCTCATTCACTGCATGCCTTCCAACTTCTGGAACATATGAGACAGGAGTCCTATAGACAATAGCCTCCTTCACTATACAATCTTGATTCATCCCCAGAACAGATCCATCTTATGCACTGAATGAGGCAAGCAAGGGTCCTGAGGAAAAAACAATATGTAATTTAAAGATGGCACTGTAACACATAAGCACAAGGCAGCTGAATTAAGGTTGCACACACAAACTTAACTCTGGCATTTCTAAGTTTGGATTGCTTGATTTTGCAATCTAATATTCCCATAATGTAGGGTGGGGGGGGGTAATATAATTTCCTAGGTTTTTAAAAAAGCTAACTAAAAAAACCCCCCAGGAATTCTATCATGTGGCATTCATATTGGGTCCACATAGGTCATCAGCAGAGCGGAAAATTTAGATCCGCCACACAAACCTCTATTACTTGAGCTAACTGAGTAACTGATATCGGTAGTAGGTGGTCATCCTCTGTGGACCAGCATTAGAGATGAGTCACGCTTTGCCAGTGGGCTTCTCAGCTATTCAACGACAGCAGAACAAGAGTGACACTCAGGAATTTGGGGTGCTATTCCAGGCTCTGGAGGGAGTGTGCTTTACAGGGCCCAGACTATTTTGCCCATCCCCCACAAGCTTATCCCCTTCTGCCTCATTCCCATCAACCTGTCCCAGACCCAGTCCTGTCTCTTCCCCACTTCAGACTCCTTGTCCCAGTCTCCACTCCTCCGGCTTATCATCCCAGTCCCAATCTCCTTGCCTAGCCAGTCCCCCCCGGCCCACTGTTCAAGCCCCGCTCCCCCCCCCTCCCAGTCCCCCCCACTCCCCACACCTAGTCCTAATATCCTTGCTCAGAAAGTCCCAGTTCCGCTCTCTCCTACCACAACTCCCTTTACCCAGTCTCCTCGCTCAGTCTGTTTACCCCTCTTGGCTACTCATCCTATCTGTCCTATCTATCAGTCCTATACTCCCTTTCCAGTCTCTTAGAATCATAAAATTGTAAGCTGGAAGGGACCTCAAGAGCTCATCCAGTCCAATCCCCTGTGCTCAAGGCAGGACAAAGTATTATCTAGAACATCCCTGACAGGTGTTTGTCTAATCTGCTCTCAAAAAATCTCCAATGACAGAGATTCCACTCTCTCCCTAGGCAATTTATTCCAGTGTTTAACTACCCTGATGGTTAGGAAGTTTTTCCTAATGTCCAACTTAAATTGCAGCAATGGTAGTTTTAAATCCATTGCTCTTTGTCCTAACTTCAGAGGTTAACAAAAACAATTTTTCTCCCTCCTCCTTGTAACTATCTCTTATGTACTTGAAAATTGTTATGTCCCTCACGCAGTCTTCTCCAGACTAAACAAACCCAATTTTTTCAATCTTCCCTCAGAGGTCGTGTTTTCTAGACCTTTAATAATTTTTGCTGCTCTTCTCTGGACTTTCTCCAATTTGCCCACATGCAGTGTGTTTATAATATGCAAATTTAATCTAGGAAAATATTTACATAATAAACAAACTCAACCTGGATGCTGAAAGTCAAGCTATTATTTTTCTGTTACATATCACTAGTAATAAAGATGCTGAAATTGGACCTTGGTTAATAATTATGTTGATAAGCGAGTCAAAGAGAATTCAGCTCACTTTCGAATCTCACTTTCTAATAATTTCACTGGTTCTGCAGTGGTAATAAGAGTTAAAACTAATAAAAGGCTGTCAGTAAGGTAAGCAGACAGAATATATACAAAAAAGCAGATCTGTTAAATGAGGTGCTATTTTCATAAAACATTGAAGTTGATAATGCCTCTTCAATTCAGCCAATATGCACAGATTTGTACTGCAATTGTTCTATCTCCTTTACTCACCATATGATACTATATTTGAAGAAACTGCCTTTATAAAATTCAAATAGTTTTGAATGAATGCAGTTTGAACTGAAAGGTTCGAAAGATACTAAAAAAAAATCCAACACAAGTTGTTTTTTAATCAAACTCGTTCAGTATACCTTATGTTGAAATGCAATCATACAGATTAAATTAACATTTTAATCACACTGCTCATCAGGAAACCATAGAATGTAGGACTGGAAATGACCTCAAGAAATCATCTAGTCCAACCCCTTACACTGAGGCAGGATTAAGTACATCTAGATCATCCCTGTCAGGTGTTTGTTCTTTAAAACCTCCAACAACAGGAATTCCCTTGGTAACCTGTTCCAGTGCTTAACTATCCTTAAAATTAAAATATTTTTCCTAATAAAAAAAATAATGTATAACAAATAGAAGAAAGTGGAAGTTGTTAGTAATGAATATAGATCATATAGAAGCTAAGAACTCTGGAAAACGGCTAAAGGAAGCAAAGGGACACAGGAGAAATCTAAAGCCAGCAGAGTTAAGGACAATAAGGAACAAAAAGAATCCTGACAATAGTAGAATCAACTAATTTCTGATGTCTTTTTTGAAAACTGTTCTTGGGTTTTTACTTGAAATGCAATTCTATTTTGACAAATGTATTAATTGGTTTGTGGGGTACCACATTTATTGTCTTCATGATTTAAAAAAAAAAATCTGCTCAGTTTGCAAGTACAGGAACTCCTCACTTAACGTTGTAGTTATGTTCCTAGAAAAAGCGACTTCAAGCAAAATGATGTTAAGTGAATCCAATTTCCCCATAAGAATTAATATAAACGAGGGGGTTAGGTTCCAGGGAAATTTTTTTCCCAGACAAAAGAGTATATATATATATACACACACACACACACACACACACACACACACAGAGTATACGTTTTAAACAAACAATTTAATAATAGTACACAGTGATGGTTGTAAAGCTTGGTTGAGGTGGAGGAGTCAGAGGGTGGGATATTTCCCAGGGAATGCCTTACTGCTAAATGAACTAACAACTGACTGAGCCCCTCAAGGGTTAACTCTCACAACACTCTACAAGGCAGCAGGAAAGGAGGGAGGGCAAACAGAGACACACACCCTGTGTGTGAGAGAAAAAAAAAATGCACATTTCCCCTTTAAGTAGCTGACCCCAGGCTTAAGTACACTGCCTTGTTAATTAAATCAGCTTGCTGAGACCTGAGAAGCTCCCTCCCTCCATTGTATGTCCCCCCTGCTCTATGGAAGATGGGGTAAGCGGGGTGCAGGAGCAGGGGGAGACACCCTGACATTAGCCCCCCTTTTCCCCGCTCCCTCCCATACAGCAAGCAGGAGTCTTTGGGAGCAGCTCCAAGGCAGAGGGCAGGAGCAGCACGTGCTAGTGGGGGGAGGGACAGCTGCTGCACAGGGAATTTAGGGGAGTGGGGAGCTGATGGGGGGCTGCTGGTCCACCCTTGTTCCAACCACCCACCAGCTAGCTGCAACGGGCTGCTCTCCCTACAAGCAGTGGACAAAACAGGCGGCTGCCAAACGACGTTAGAAGGGAGCATTTCACAACTTTAAACGAGCATGTTCCCTAATTGATCAGCAACTTAACATCGAAACAACGTTAACCGGGACGACTTTAAGTGAGGAGTTCCTGTAAAGGTAGAAGGCTTTTCTAACTGCCCAAGTGCAAACTCACCCTGCGGCTCTGAAAATCAAGCTGGATATTTTTCTTCTCATACAGACCAGATTCTGCTATTAGTTATACCTGTGCAACTCCATGTTATTCAAATTATACCCTCATTTAAATCTGTGGAACATCTGTGTTAGACTTCACCAGGATTGCATAATATAATAGAGGAAAAAATGTGGTCCTTCAATTAAAACTTTAACAACTCTATTGATAATACATGAGCCAGAAGAGAATCCAGCTCCAACTCCCACAGCTGTATTACCCCTACAAAAACAGAAGTAAACTTACATTGTCAGTAAGTCAGCAGATATGACTATAAACGCACAAAGGGGGAACAGATTTACTGAGCAAGAATATGCCATTTTTACAAAAAGTCACTTTTCAGATGAGAACTAATCTCTACGATGAATCCAATGTTTTCTCTGTTTTAATTACAGGCAAATTTAAATTTCATGAAGGCCACTATCATCTCTAATATGCCCTGCAAGATCTTGACAATGAGGTTACTCTCTTGTATCTTGTTAGATTTTGTTAGATACTCAGAAATCCCACCATTTTTGTCCTGAGAAATTTAAAACCAAACTGGAGAAAGTCCTTAAAAGTATACTGTAAGGAGAATCTACCACTTTCAGTGGCCAATCACAGTATCACAAAACACAACCTGTTCAAATGCATTCATGATATGATCTTTAATTACACAGTTTAATACTTTGTATGCTGTATTAACCATGACAGAATGCAGACTGAAATACTTTTTAATGTAAAGAAAGTTTACTATATCTTACATTAAAATAATCAGGATAACTTCAAGTTATAGTCAAGTTAAAAAGAAAGTCAACAATGTTTTAATCTATTTGATTTCTAAATAATATAATTTAGTTGTCCTAGTTAAAGAAATGAAACAGTATAATTTAAATTAACCTGGCCAGTTTAAAAAGTGTTTGAGACCAAACATAATTTTTGTTTTTACTAGAAGTGGTTAATATGCAGAAAGCTGCATTACATTTCTTTGAAATATCTGATGATTGGTCCTCATTAAGTTAATTCATAGTAGTATATGTAAACAAAGCCAGGACATCATAATCCATTTCTGGATTAAATTAGATATTGCATCTTCTTTTCTTAGACTTTAGACCACATGATATTTCTCAAAAAGCGGAAATGTTTACTCTTTTGGTAAACTCCACCATTCTTCACTCTTCTGGTGAACCTAAAACCAATTAATTAGGTAGGAGGGTAGAGTTTATTTGCAATTCAGAGTCATGTTCTACTGCACATTATACAATCCTGCAGCTTCTGATTCTGTTGTGAACTAAAAGCATCCTTCATATTTATACAACAGTGTAAGTAGACATGCGATGTCAAACCTCAATAAAATTGTCCTGTTCCTCCTGCCTTAAACAGTCTTCAGCGGACACGTTACATAATTCTTTTCTGCTCTGTAGCAATGATTTCACAGAGCGTAGTACACCATCAGTGAAATCCTGAAAGGCAATGGAGAAACACATAAATGTACAGCAAATGAAAAAGCTGAGCAGAATTTTAAATGTGGGGTATTTTTTCCACAAACATACAACTGTTTTTCTGAACACTGTTTCAAACTATTGTGTGTACAGGCCACCAGCCATCAGCTGCAAAATTTAAATGCTACTTACGATTATGGGGAATCATGCAACTTTCAAACTGCCAACAGACCTACGCTTCTCTCCAACCAAAAGAATACCCCTCAATGCAAAAAAGCCACATTCTTTCCAAAAATGCCAAGTCCTAGCTGAGATGGTCTATAACAACAGTAGAGAGAAAACAGGAGTTGCTACTGATTAGTTCAAACAATACCTGGACTCTTAGGATGAGCAGGGAATAAAGTACCAGGCAGATACAAAGAAAGGCCCCCTATATCACTCTGTACCTGCAAATGGAACCTGTACACTTTTCTTTTACATAGGCAACAATTTAAAATTGTTCTTCCTATGGTAAACAAACACAAAAAATGAGGAGGCTTCAGCAGTTAACAAGTAATATATTCACTCGGTCTCCCACGTAGCCACTGAAAGAATGATGAAAGAACAGGGTTCATTGCATGAGTTTCTTGGTGCAAATATTTAACAGGAGAGGCACCACATGAACAGAAGACTATTACAGATGTTTGTAAAATAGGTACCTAAAAGCTGGTAGAATCTGACAATTCTGTAATTAAGATAAAGAACAAAATAATCAAAAACTTGTTTATTATACCTGGAATTTAAAATCTATAGGAAAAAAAGGTTGGTAAAACTGAACAAAAAGATAAACAAAACTACTTGACTCTTCAGGTCAGGGGAAAAAAAAAAAAAACTTGGTGCCATCTCATTTTACTGCAAGAAAGTACTTTGCAGAAGGCCACCAGTTTGAAAAAAACCTAGGTCTTCTTTATTTCTGTAAGAAATGCTAAGGTAGTTCCTGAAAGAGAAGGACTGCAGTTAAGCAGTAATTGGAAACATGTCTGCAAAACTAGCCAGCCAGATATAAAGTTGGTGCAAAAGAATGAAGTAAATGAAAAAATGAGTTGAACCTACTAACACTGAAGTACAAAATTAACAACAAAGTTACCTAAATCTTGAATAGCTTCTGAAAGATCAGCAAAAGTAGTAGACACACAAATTTAATCAGGGAACGTTCGAGCTGTCGACATACCATCAGGAAAAAATAATCACTTTATGGTAAAATTTTGTCTTATGTCTTACAATTGAATCTTAAACATGGCTGCAGAAAAATGGTATAACATGCCACTCCATAAGATGCCTGATAATTCCAGAGTGAGCAGCACTATTATCTTTCTACGCCCTGATATTGGAGATTGAGGTAGCATCTTCAAAACTGTCAGACAAAAGAAGAATGTAAACCTAGATTAAGGATTCTTAAAACTGTTCAAGTTGTGGAACACATTTTAGTAGAGTGCTTGTCTCCTGGATCACTTGCCCTCTCACTGGAGATTGTACAACATCCCAACAACAACTAAAACAGTTATTTACACAGAAAGGTAACAGTAAGCAAGTGAAATATTTTAAAATGAAATTAATACTGTAAATGTTTTGTCCATTTGATATAAATTAGTCATAGTGTCTTATTTTGCTATTCATTTAATATTCCTACTCCCATTTAATCTTCCTACTCCATCCTTGAGTGACGGCATAATGGCTAGAAAAAGTATGTACAGACCCCCATGTTGCTGCTTTGCAGATATCAGCTACAGGGCTATTGCTCAGAAAGACAGATGAAGTGGACTGAGCCCTGGTGGAGTGAGCCATTATTCTTGGTGGAGGAAAGACTTTAGAAAGACCATAGCACAGCTTCAAGAGCTTCAGAGGAGGAAGGATAGCTCAGTGGTTTGAGCATTGGCCTGCTAAACCCAGGGTTGTGAGTTCAATCCTTGAGGGGGCCACTTAGGGATCTGGGGCAAAATCAGTACTTGGTCCTGCTAGTAAACGCAGGGGGCTGGACTCAATGACCTTTCAGAGTCCCTTCCAGCTCTAGGAGATAGGTGTATATCTCCATATATTACTATATTATTCATAGTCAGAAATCCAATGTGAGATTCACGGAGCAGACACTGACTGACCCTTAACTCTCTCTGCATAGACTATAAAAAGCCTCGGAGAGATTCTAAAGGACTTAATGCCGTCCAGGTAGAATGCCAAAGCTCTACAAACATCCTAGGTATGAAATCTTTCTTCGGCTCAGGAAGAATGAGATTTCACTGAAAATACCAGGAGATGAATAGTTTGGTTCAGATGGAAAGCTAACTTTACCTTAGGCATGACCTTATGGCGTGGCTTAAGGGAAACCTTGTTAGCCAGGAGAGACTGAAGTTCTGCAATCCTCTTTGTGGAAGTGATTGCCACCAGAAAAGAGGTCTTCATAGTCAATAAAGATAGTCAGGTTGTAGCCATAGGTTCAAAGAGAGAGTGGGGCAGGAGGGAATCCTTCCAGTTTGCAGATGACTAGATTGAGATCCGATACAGAATCACACACAGGAAGGTAAATGTTGAATAGACCTTTCAAGAATCGGGAAGCAAGTTGGTTGGAGAAAATTGAAAATCCTTCTATTGATAGAGGCAGTGCAGAAATGGAAACTAGTAGACTCTGACAGAACTAATGAAAGGCCTGATGACTTTAGCTGCATCAGATAGTCCAGCACATAGTCACCTCTGTGGGATGGGACAAAAACTGTTGAGATTGCACCCAAATTGAAAATCTCTTCCACTTTGCTCCATATGATGCTCTAGTGAATTCTTTTCTGCTGCTCACCAAGATGATCTGAACCTCTCCGGAGCACAATTTCTCATGAGAATTCTACCATAATTAAGCTATAAAATTTCTTAAATAAATGTATATTAAAGTGTATACTCCTAGGTAGCAAAAAAAATGTCCCAAATCTAGTGTTACGGTTCTATTTAGTTATAAATCATCATGTTTTAATGGTTATATCAACTAATGAGAATGCACCTTTCTTTAGAAAACAATTGAGGTACACATGGAAAAGCTGATAGAACTCAATGATTTAAATGAAGGCTTTCCACTTGGTGATTTAAACTGTCCTGATTTAAATCAATCCACCCCCCAGAGATTGTCCATGCCATGAGGTTGAGACATTGGTGGTTGGGATGTAGAGACTTACCCTGGTTCTGAGACAGGAGATCCTCGACTAGAGGTAACGTTATTGGCAACCAGACAGAAAGATGATACCAATGCTACCTTGACCATGATGGTGTGACAAGGATTAAATGTTGCTTTGTCTCTTTTCAGTTTCCTGAGTAACCTTGGAATGAGAGGAACTGCCAGGAAAGCATAGAAACGATGTCTGGACCTAGGGAGAAGGAAGGCATCTCTGACTGAGCCAGGTTGCAGTCCCTTCTGGAGCAAAATCTCCTGCACCTGTTCAGGTTGGTTGCAAACAAGTCTATTACTAGATACCCCCGTAGTGGAAAATCTGAAGGAGAACATCCTTTCTGATTGACCATTCGTATTGGTCTATGAAAACCCTACTGAGGGAATCCACAATTGTTTCTCTCACTCAAGGAAGGTGGAACACATTCCAGGAGACATAGTTTTTATACACAGAATCCATAGAAGGACAGCTTCCTGGCATAGCTGAGATGATCTTGCACTTCCCTGCCTGTTTAGATAAATCATGGCAGTGGCGTTGTCCCTAATAACTTGTATCATCTGGGTCTTGATGGTGGACCATAAACATCTTGCAGGCCTGATGAATAGCTTGGCTCTCCAGCACATTTATGTGGAGTAAAACTTCATGGTGACCAAAGAGCTTGTGCTTGAAGTTGACTGAGATAGGCCCCTCCAGCCTTTGGTAGATGCATCTATTACCAGAGTCAGAGTTGGTTCTGGGGACAGAAATGGATCTCCTTTGCTTGCATTTCACAGATCCAGCCACCAATCCAGAGACTGAAGCACTCATGCAGGTACGCAAATCTGCATGTCCAGAGGATGCCTGGAAGGATGATCACTGTCTGCAGGCCTTCATTCAGCATAAGGGGAAGTCTGGTATGTGGAGTTATGTATGTGCACAAGGCCATGTGGCCCAGGAGCTATAGGTAGGCATGCACTAATGTCATTGGGTTGGACTTGAGGTTTTCTGAAAGAAACCAAGCACTCTTATGCCTATCTGTGACAGGGATAACAGCCCTGCACACGGAAAACTACTTAAATCCTGGGGATTTTTTTTTTTTTTATAATAAATTCTCCTGCTAACAATTAAAAATATTATCTAAACTAACTAACTAACTGTATACACTAAAAGAGTTCTGAAAAGCTGGCTAAATGAAGCAAATGCTATGGGGAGCTCCAGCTGTCACCATAGGTGGTGAGAAGGAATTGAGAAGGAGGCAGCAGACGTGCCCCTTTTATGTCCTCATCTGATAACACAAAGAGAATAGGGCTATATGTGCTACCTAGTTGTACTTCTGGGGAGGAAAGTCTCCAACTCAAGTGCACTGGGCATACTTACACCTGCAGTAGAATGTATATGTGCACAACCACTTGAAGGAGAACTCAGGTTTCAGGTAGAGGTACAGCATCTTCATCCACAAGTCAGGAGCAGGATTTGTTCTTAATAGCAACCAATGTATATAATTCCCAGTTATGTTATGGCCAAAAACTGGAGTATTCTCAAAGCTGCACTTGCTAGTTCTGCCTATTCCTCCCACAGAGACAACCAGAAAACCGTGAGATGTTCGGTGAAGAGTCCTAGTATCAGCAACTGATCAACAAAGGCTTCACTCTTATTAGTTATACTGAGGATGTACATATTTCACCCTGAGAACCATTTGGAGCAACCAGTGCTGATCAGTGAAGTGCTGTATTCAGCAAGGAAAAACTGTATTCAGCAAAGAAAATCCTTGTCACTTCTTTTCCTAGCTTAAAGCAGCAATTCAAAACTTTGCCACATCCTCTCAGTGGACAGTAAAACAGGAAGTCCACATGTACAGATGCTTCCCACTCATACTGAACAAATGTTAAAAAATAAACAAAAACCATCTCTACTTTCATCAGATTGTTGTAAGGGCTACTGGCTCTCTTGAACTCATCTAAAGAGCTGCTCCCAAAGATCTGCAGCCATGTCATGAATTTATCAGGTGACTGTCACTGTAGAGGGGAACTGATTTAACTGACTAGCTGCAGCAGATACCAACCATAACAAAAACTAACAAAATCAGACACATTTACGATTACATGAGGCTTAAGAGTTTCACTATTTGCAGATACACCAAATATGACTGTTGGAGTGCTTTCACTTTTACAATGTTGCCCCTTAATTAAACAATCTTCCGATCTAGTAAACTCTTAAGCTTTCACTTGAATTCAACGAGTTTCTTTTGTAAAGATGGCTGCTTGGGCTCCAAACGATAGAGCACTCCCCAAGGCCACATCCACACACCCGAATGCTTTGGCAGATAATGAAAAACTCCTTTGAAGTATCACAGTAGTTGACAAAAATTCTTGTACATGTTTTGGTCTGAGTCTGCAGAAAAGGAAAGCCAGACTGCAAGGAGGGTTTCAATAGGAGAAGAAAAGGAGGGTGGCTCATTACCACCATACTGGCTGGCTCCATGGAACAAAGCAAGGAGCATGCACTATAATCCAATTAACTACCCTTTTGGGAAATGTGGAGATGTCTGGGTTTCCCCTCACATCACTCTCACATTCTCAGTAAATGCAGTACACAGCTCTACACAGGAATCTGCAGCCATAGGAGCCTCAGGGAGGTATGAAATGGCCCATTCATCTCAATGTGATGGTCTCATGAATAAGAACACCTCCAGGAGATGAATACAGCCTAAAACAATAGGTCTGAGACATGTGAATTGCTCCATTCATGTCAGTAGGTGTTCTCATCCCCCCTCATGGTGCTGGAGAGGTTCTGACATGCATCAAGCGTGCCTGTTCTTAGAGCCTCACCTCAGTTTCAGCCATGGGTATGTATACACTGCAATTAACCACTCATGGCTAGCCCATGCCAGCTGACTCAGGTTAAGGCTAAGAAGCTGTTTAATTGCAGTTAGACATTCAGGCTCGGACTGGAACTTAGGCTCCAGGACTCTGTAAGGTGGGACGGTCCCAGAGTTCAGGCTCCAGCCCAAATGTCTACACCGCAATTAAACAGCCACTTAGCATGAGCCCTGCCATCCCAAATCAGCTGGCATAGGGCAGCCGCAAGTTAATTGCAGTGTAGACATACCCACTGTGTTCTTTGTGCATGCTCTGAGCTTGCCCATTTTAAGCTGTTTTGACTACCTGACCTCTAAACTGCACCCTTGTTGTGAGCTCAAATGAAAAGTATGTGAAAGATCATAAGATGTTACAATAACCATGAAAAACCTTGAAGTTGTTTACAATGTTAAAAGTTGTAACAAGTGCAAGAGAACAAGACAATGAAGCTAGATTAGCCTAAACCAAGGACTGTTGAAATTATGCTTGGTCAAAACCGAAGACATGGAACCAGAAGCGAATAGACCAAAATTGGTGTGACGGGTATTAAATCTAATTGGTGAACAACATAATAAGGGGGAATGAATTATATTGCCCCTTTTTTCCCTTTTGGGGTTTCTTGAAAAAGGGACTTTGAAAAAAGATCAGTTCAGTTCTCCCTCTTATCTCCCATCCCATCCTGCATCCCCCAGCTCATCTGCCAAACCACCAGCACTGCAATTCATCTCAGCTCATCATGGGCTCATCTAAAAGGACCTTCTTCCTGAAAGGAAAGCTGGCTGGCCAGCCTTGATCTTGTACAAGGAACTTTGTTTTCACCTGCAAGGTGGGAGAGGTAGTATCTTTTATTGGACCAACTTCTGTTGGTGAAAGAGACAAACTTTCGACAAGCTTCAGAGAACTCTGTGTAGCTCAAAAACTTGTCTCTCTCACCAACCAAAGTTGGTCCAATAAAAGATATTACCTCACCTTGTCTCTCTAATATCCTGTGACCAGCACAGCTACAACACTGCAACTCACATTATACAATCCTCTGCCCATCAGTGGGATATCTAATTGACTGCACTGCAAAGGCACAGAAGATCCTGTATTGTTTTCTCTTCCCTTGTTATTTTCTACCCCCACTATCTCTATCCTCTCTCTCACTCTCTTGTCTTTTCATCAAATCCTGAAGTCAACTCTGCTGTATTCATCCAAGCCTGCCTTGTGTAAGAAGAAAAGATATAATCAGATGACATCCCTGACCAGATTGTAAGCCAAGGTCCAAGCAGCAAGTGTTGTGGTTGACTTGTCAGCCAAAGCACCAGCTTGTAACTAACCAGCGATCCACTGTTCCAAAAACACCCAAAAAAGCCGTATTTCATACCTCTTTTCTATCCTGTCTCTCCATCTTGTCTATCTAGAACAGAATAAGTAAATGTCCTCTACGCACCAGGACAGAATGAAAATACCTTTTCCTTTTCATCAAAGAAAGGTTGCTCTGAAAATAAGAGACTCATATTTTGTCTCCAAAAAGAGAGACTTTAAAGGTTTTGACTAAGTTTGTTTTGCATAATCACTCAACCACAGTTTCAATATAAATGTGTTTTAATTTCTTATTCTTTCTTATGTTTAATCAATAAACTTTTAATTTGAACTAATGCTTTTGGGTGTTTGCCATGTAACGGAGTAAAACCAAGGCCTCTGTTTAACTTACCTATCTGTTTAATGTTGACAGTCAAAGAGTTTATAAACAGCTTTAATTCTTTAGGCCTTTGAGATCAATACTACAGCTTCGCACCCAGTGAGGCAGGGCTTACCCCAGATCCTGGCACACACAAAAGGAGGCAGGGAGTAGAGCTCAGACACCCCATGTGGGCAGGGACCCCCCCAGATCCTAGCTCACATGAGATGGGGAAAGGAGAGGGTCTCAGACCCACCCACAAAGACAAGCCCTCCAGAACCTGGCTCATATGAGTGGGCACATGGAAGGAGGTCAGACCCCCATAGATGGGCAAGGGATCCCTCAGATCTTGCCACAGACACCCCGGGGGGGGAAGAGAGGGAGGCTCATACCCCCAAAGAACCATGGCCTCCTCCATATCCCAGGTCGCATGAGGGGGGCAGGGAGAGGGGCCTAGACCCCCCCACCCAGAGGGACAGGGACCCCCAAGACCATGGTGCACACAGAGAGGATCAGGGAGTGGGGCTCAGACACCTCTGAGAGCAGGAACCCTAGATCTCAGCTCACATAGGGCAGGGAGAGAGAGGGGCTCAGACTTCCCCCCCCCCCCCCAATCCTGACACGCACAGAGAGAATGGAAGAATGTGGGGCTGACAGGCTTCCCAACCCCTCTCATGTCCCCTACCACCTATCCCCATTTATCCCCCTCAACCTGATGCAGCCACAAATCCTTCTCACCTATATTACCTCCACTACTCCACCCCATAAAATGCCTTTATCCTCCAGCAAGCATTCACATATATAGTTTATTAAAATATTTAGATTATATTTATTTATAAAATAAAAACAAAACCCTAACAGAGACAGAATTTAGCGATATGCCACCAAATCTTTTAAACATTCATGCCCAAGGTGTGAGTAGAACGGACATTGCCTGGGGTGGGTCAGGTTCAAAGGACTATTGTATATTTCCTTGAACATCCAGCTCATGTGCAACTTTGAAGGCCAACAATTCTGTTAATTCTTCTGTCCACACATGCTCAGTGTAATCCAGTAGGCATGCAAAGACGTTTGTCAACATTTAAATTTGATTTCCCTCAATGGGCTGGTCGATGCCATGCACTCTGTTGGAGGTAACTCTGAGTATGTGAAACTGTGATGCAATGATTGGAGCCCTGGGTTGATCTCTATCTGTGAGCAAAAACAGGCTGCTAGAATCCATCAACTTTTAGAAAAGCTGTTTTTTTCAGGAGCTATATTTTGGGAACTCGTTGGTCAGAACCCTGCACCACCAGGAGGCACCCCAAATTTCAAGGCTATCTGAGTAACTGTGTAGATTTTAAGAGCATTTAGAAAAAAAATCTAGTTTTAAACAGAAAGAAAATCATTGAGGAAAGACTTCTGATATTCCCCAATCTAAAATGACTTATTTCAAAAAAGCATGTAAGATTATTAAAGCTGCTAAACATCACACCCTAAATGAAACAACAACAACAAAAACTGTTATGAATACCCTCCATAACAAATGGAGGACAGATTTTATTTTTCACCAAAAGCATTGCCCAGCAGAAGTTCATGTGAACTTGAGCATAAGTCAGTCAAGAACCTGGGGTGGAATTAATTTTTGTAGATATGTCTTATTATAACACCCTTAATACAAATGTCAAAAATAAGATTTGACTGTAAACAACATATTTATATTTTCTTTTGTGGTAGGAAACTATACTAATATGAACACCTATTACTCCCAAATAAAATATTTAGGTTTGCTAAATAAGGTAATCATCATCTAACAGTTGCAATTTTTCTGAAAACCTTCTAGATTTCATAAGAACTACAGAAAACATGAAGTAAGAGATAAGTCCACTATGTCCTTTGTTTAAGTTACTCAGTTTCCCAGATTTACAAATGTACCAAAGCAAAAGCAATCTGAAAACTACTTGCCTCCTTAAATCTTTAGCCTATTAAGACAAAACAAAAATGAAAATGTACCGGACCTGTCAGCTTATTTTCTTCAATCTAACTCTCAAGATTCAGATCACAAAGAATTAGATTTTTTTTAAAAGAACAAAATAGCTGTTTACCTTTTTCATTGACACTTTAGGCTTTCTTTGACTGCTTCGGGCCCTGGTATAAGTATCCATGGTTTAATTGATTTTAGTAGTCATGGAAGAAAGTCAGCTCAAAAATACCTACAGAAAAACATTTATCACATCATTATTTTGTGCTTCCCATTTACCTAGCATATATTTAGAAAACTACTTTTGATGAAACAAGCAATGAATCCACAATTTTGTGACAAAAGATATCTTAAAACTGAAA